AGTTTTATAAACTTATATATCACAAATTATATTTAAGCTAGGTTTGTTAGTTGACAAAGTTTGATAGAAATTATTTCTGATATAATGATTGTTTTATACAATTATATAAAACATTTAATTTATTGCAATTTATGAATTGTCTAACATATTGATTATAAATTAAATAATTGTATTAAATGATGATAAAACTATTAATCTTTATTTTTTAATGATTTTAATGTTAATAAATAAAATATATTAATAAAAATATATTTTAATAATAATTATATTAATAATCAATACCTATTTTAGACATTTATTCAAATATGAAATAAATATCCAATACTAATTCTAGGAATATTTATTATCAGATTAATGTTAATTAATTAAATTGTTAATCAACCGCATTATTAAATATAACTTGTTGAATTATCTTCAATTTTACAATTACCTTCGCACTGGTAGTAGCTATCGTTAGAACGGCGCGAAATTACGATGTTAGTCATGGCTTCGGCAGTATTAAGTTTTTGGTCCAAACCCGACCAGTAATCGACATGGCACTTATAAGTACCGAACGCGAACCTTGTCACGTTGCTTATTTTGAGTGCAGCTATGTCCTTTTTGAAATCTTTGTTCAAGTCTTCCGCTTTAATTTGCATCGTTCCGTCAAATTCGGCCACTGATTGAACAGAGAGAGAGAGAGAGAGAGTTAATTTTTTAATTGAATCAAAATGTTAATTAGAAATTATGAGATTACAAGTATCGTGCAATATTTAAATATTAATAAATTTAATTATTAATTTAAAATATAAATATTTACGAATCAAATATTTAAACAATTACATATTTATGAAAATGCACAAATAATGTTATTCACTTGTTTAAAATTTTGATAAATATTTTGAATTAAATATATAAATATAAAATTTTAACTTACCATAATTTGTTTTTTCACCCCTGGTATATAATGCTTTTTCATTAAGAGTTATGTAAACATTTTTAATGGACTCATCGCCATCATAATCAAACGCGCATTCAAGCTTAAATTCATGTGGATTATTCGCACCCGTGTCAATGTATGATAAATCAATGTACACCATTAGACCTTGCCCAATTATTAGGCATACTATCGACACGAATAATATATTATGTGAAACGGACATTTCAGTTGTATTGTAATATAAGTATTTTATTTGTAATACTATACTGTTAGTAGAATAATTAGAAAATGTTTTATACCTTTTGAAGAATTTAATTAGAATATATTGTACTAGTTCATATTTCTATATCTCAAATGAATCACTTAATAAATATTAATTTCAAGTGAATTGTTTTGATAGCTATTATCTATACTATAGATTTTATAGCTATATTAATATCATTAGTTGTGCTTATTACTAACTTTTTGAAATATATGTTGACCTAGATTATAATTATATATAAATGATATGATATTGTGCCCACATAATAATCAACCCCTTGAATTACCGACAAGGGTAATTTTTATAATTTTTGAAATTATTAAGTGAAATTGATAAATTTTATTACTCGAAAAGTATTATGATAAATTTATCTCATAGTATCAAGCAAATATTTTAATATAAAATTTATTTTGTCGGCAATTTAAGAGGTTGATTAATTTATGGGTGAAATAACATGATAATTTATTAATAATTATGATTTATACTATAGAAAGGTTATGAGTTGGATTGTAAGCAATATGGTTTTAATCTCAAAAATTTATAAATCAAAAATAAGCCGTAGACTAAGCACTTGAAAATAAGTATTATAAATTGATTTATTTGAAATACCCAATGATAATTATTAATTGCACTTAACTATATCTCATAGTTAAAATTAATCTAATTATATTTATAGCATATAATAATATTAATGCAGAATTAAAAACTCTTATATTAGACTTAATTATTTTGACTTTTAGATATAACTGTTTTTAAACAAGAATTATTAATACATAAAAACAGATGAAACAGTATAATAATGATGTATTTTTAACAATTTAAAAATATCACAAATTAAAATGTTTAAATTGTATATAATTTGCACAACCTTACTACTGGTTGCAATTATTGATGATGGTCAATCGGTGTATATTGAACTACAGGGTATTTATGATCCTAAAATCGTTGATCCCAGAAGTTTTACGTTGCACTGCAATTACGATTACGATATTGACGAGGATGTGAGAAATGTTTATATTAGCCGGGACAAACAAACATTATACACGCGGGGCGAGAAAACAAGTTGGCGTAAGTATAAACTGTGCATGCTACAATTATTTTTTGACAATTCTCTCTCTCTCATTAGAAGCGGTTTTTAACAAAACACAACAGATTACAGTCGATGACAGTTATAAAACTTTTAACCGAAAGTATGCGGAACTTACATTTGCAAATGTATCCAGGTATGCGTTTGGTGAGTACGGGTGCCAAGTTGACTACTGGTCCAAGATTGACCAAAAATTATCGACAGTAAACTCGTTCACAGTTGTAAATATAGGACGTCGTGCTAATGATAGTGTATTTTATTGCGACGGCAATTGTGTAATTAAATCCACTTAATTGAAATATTTGTAATAATTAGCATCGATATTTTTTTTATAGTATTTGTGATTGTCTAAGGATGTTTTCATTACAATAAATAATAAATGTATAATTAATATAAATGTTAAATACAATCACAGTATTGACTAAAAACTTTAAATAATAACATATTGTATTCAATACAATCTTTAGTAACATATTAAAATTAACGTTATGAATTAAACTTATATAGTATCAAAAATTATATTTTATTATGTACAATGAGATTTATGATTAAATAATTTTATTGAAATAATTAATAATAAAAATAATTAAACGTAATAAAATATTTTATTAATAATTATTAATAATAATTAATAATTAATTCTTATTAATAATAAAATTAAACGTATATTACTTCTTTAAAATACTAGTGTTGTATTAAATTTTAATTAGTCTTCCATGACACTGGTCAATTAACATTGCATCATCATTTAAGTTGATTACATTAACACATTGTTAATTTTTTAATATCCTATGAATTACAAAACATTAAAATTTTAAAAATAAGCTTATTTAAATTTAATATTATTGTTATAATCAACGACACGCCAAATAATTATTACATGTTACATACTGTATGATATATATATATATAAATAAATATGATCAAGGAATTCGTTGGAAAATGCGTATAGCTTCATTATCTGGCTTAATTTCGTCGTCGGATATTTTAAATTGAAGACCCGTATTATCTTTTTTAATACGCTGCCCAGTTAGCAAATATATGCTTTCCTTGCCCGGTATTAGTTCAATTGACTCGTAATCGCTTTGCTCATAATGACAGTTCTCCTGGGTAACCGAGACTAGCCTTTTTGTGCTAGCTCCCTGCGCGTAACCGAATGGTTCACTCAAACCGGCATACTCAGCTCTAAAAAATCGACCATGGTAATTACTAGTAATCTCTGCCCACTTGTACATAGGCCACAATTCTTGTGGGCGTTTTTGACCGCCCAATTGTACGTAGATGAAATTGATGGGAACGGTATTAGCTTGCAAATCGGCAATTTCTTTATCTGTTAAATTAATTATTATTTTTTTGAATACGTTTACAAAGGTCAAATATTTATGCTTCACCTGTTTGATTTTTATAATTATGAGCATCTTCATCTATTAAATCCACTTTCTGTTCAAGACTTTTTAATTCAAGAGATTTTTGCTCTAATCTATCTACCGTTTTGTTTAATAAACCACTCGTACCATTTAATAACTCTCTCGTTTCTATTAATTCATTTAATGTGCTAGTTAAATTAATTTGCGTTAGACGCAGTTCATCCCTGTACTTTAAAATCAGCGTTTGCAAATGCAGCAAGGGCCACGATTGTAATTTTTCGCATAATACTAAATTCTTTTTCGAACAACCTACATCATACCATTCGCCAGTAGCCTCGCTTAATTCACCTAGACCAGAGTTTGGTTTAATTTCTACGCAAGCTTTATCACTATCGTTAGACGGCATATGCTCGGCCCAGTTGTCATAGTCAATACCGGTGCCATCGTCCCACACAAAGGTGCTTAGGTTACCACGTTTTGCCCCGATCCAAATACTGTCCACGATGCCAGGTTGATTAAATATGTTTTTGTTTAGGAATTCCTGCTCATCAAGGGTGTCTATGGATACTAGTGTAGGTACAGGGTCGTTGTCACCCGTTTTGGCGAATTTGCAACTTTCTACCGCCTCATCGTGCGAGGTCATTTTTTCAAATAGTTTGAAACATTTTTCATCTTTGTATTCGAGCCAATCGCCACACATTTGCGATGCATTTGTACCTAGGTTAAATAGATAACATTTTTAATTTATTTATTAACTTATAAGCTCTTACCAGTGTAATTGTAGATTATTAATAAACTTAGTAAGTTTATAGTAACATATTTCATTGTTGTAAATTTTAAATATAACTTTTACGATTTTAATAATATATTGTTTGTAAATTAATTTTTTTAAATATTGATATTTAGTTATTGACGTAGTGTTTATACTTAATTAATAACATTAAATTTAATAGTTATAATTAATACTTATATTTTTATTTTTTCTTAAATATATAAATTTTTATTATAAAGACCTCACATTTATATTGAGTGTTTTTGTCGGCATATATTTTTTTTATAAAAAGATTGATTATATTTATTTCATTTATTAATTGAATAGTTTAACCCTAATGTACTGGATCACTCAACAGGTACTTACTTTTAGTGAAGGTCTTTTATAATAATAATTTATATTTTGTGCTGAAATTATAATATTTCTGTTTACGATTAAAATTTTATTGAGTGGTTCAGTACTTAAAATATAAATAATTTCAACAAATTAATCAAATAAATATAATCAATATCCTTTTAAAAAATATATGCCGACAAAAACACTCAATATAAGTAGTTTCATAGGAATTTGTTTGTTTTACAATTGAGAATTAATGTGTTTTATATGATCCTGTTTACCACATGACCACGAATTTTTAACATTTATAAATAAGCTTAATAATTATTTTACCAATCATATACTATTATGAAATACAAAAATACTGGATCCCGATTATATCTAACTAATCATAATTTAAAAATTTTAAATAATTAAAATGTGTAGTTACGATTAGTCATAGTTAAATTCATAGTTAATTTATTATATTAATAAATTATATGCTCTATATAATATATATATGCTTTATTATAATTATCATATTTTTAAGTGTAAACGTCTTAAGTGAAACAGAAAGTGTCTAGATATAATTAATTGCAATTATTTATTGATAATATTGATTGAAATATAATTTATTATTGCAATAAAAATGTGCCGACAAATAAAACGGTGCATTTTGTTAAATATATCAGGGAACGTTAATAAAATTTTTAGATAATATAAAACTATATAAAGAATGTCCAAATTAATACATAATTTATTTAATATTTAAATAATTACATACATATTATTACATAATATTATTTTGGAGAAAATGTCTATCAAATTTATATATGCAGCATATATCATACTGCTATTTTATAGTTTAATGTTTTTAACTAGCTCAGAAGATAAATGTCCAGTCAAATATCAAACTAATAAAATGAATGTTAAGAACTATGTCAACAACACCTACCTATTCACTAATATTACAAAAGATTCAAAACCACAAATGAAACAAATAAGCTTGATGACTGGAGTGCCATATTTTCTACTAAATGATCAGTATAAAAATCACACATTTTATGGAGCTATATTCAAACAACAAAATTCGCAACATAAATTATGGACCACAAATGTGGATGTTAATGGCACGCATATGCAATGGGACCTGGTTGCAACAAGTACAATTGGTTTATACCAGATTCGACGCGGTTTCGATGATCAAGTGCTGAAATGTTTTAAAGGGGAAAGCTCGGTGGGCCTTGGTAATGGCAGTGAGCCCGGTACTGAGCATTTATCCTGGTGGAAAATAGAGGAGTCCACAAAAGTTGGCTACTTTATGATACGTTGCAACGAAACTCCCGATAGGCTACTTACCAACGACCAAATAAACGCGTTAATTGGCAATGGCGATAATGAAAATGATAACGTGCTATTTAATTTCGTTCCAGCATATACTACTGGCGACTACGTGTTGCGAATCGAAATTAGAGATTTTGATTTTGAAATGACCTTGGACGACCTACTAGGCCAGGATCGCCAAACGGTGTCAATGGCCGAAAAGATCATCATACCGAATTTATCATCTGCCACGTTGCAGCACAAAGTATCCCAGAGCAAACAAATCACCAACACCATTTCGAACACGATATCACACTCGTTTAGCCAAGGTGCAACGTCGAACACCCATAGGTCCAGTGGTATACAGCACTCGTCGTCAACCAAATACGGTGTAACCCACGCGACCACAGACAGCATGACCCAAGGCTATAATATCGAGATGTCGGCCGAGGTCGGGCTCGAAGGTATCGCTAAGGTATCGACCAAAGCGAGCATGGACTTTCAATACACTACCGAGGAATCGTTTGGCGAATCTGTGGAGAATGAGCAAGGTGAGTCTATGTTTTAAATGTTACTTCAATAAGTTACTAATTTACAAAGAAATGGTTGTAAAGTATTATAAATTAATGAAAAGGAGAGTTAATGTCAAAAGTTAAATTGAACCGGGAACTCTAGATTGCATGCCGGGTATGCTAACAATTACACCAAACCGGCAAACTCTCTCTCTCTCTCTCTCTCTCTGTTTAATTAATAAGTTACCAAAATAGCATCCAAAAAATAACCTCAGACCTTAAACTTAGTGTGAAATTTCGTACAAAAGGTGAATCCAGTAGCGAGGACTGGGGCAGCGATACGGGCAACACCGTCGAGAATACCACGGCTACGGAAACCCACTACGAGAACAGTACGACCATTACCTACTCGATCGAGCAGACGATCGAAGTGCCGCCGAATACGTCGATCGAGGTAAGCGGTTACGTCGATTGGATCGACGGCATGATCATCCCCTACACGGCCACCGCGTACGTCACGCTAGAGGCCGTACGTACGCTGAAAACGTTCCGTACGTGCGGTACGTATGAGGGGGAGCGGAGGTGTAAGTATAACGCGCGTAAGGATCGTATGGACGGGGAGGCCGTGGAGTGGTTTTTAAGGCAATATAACTCGAAACTGGCCGCGAGGGTGATATATAGGTGCGATCAGGCGGCTGTGTTGCACTTGGATGGCAACGTGGTGGGCACGGGTGGCTTGAAGTCGGTGTTAGTGGCCAAGGAGGTGCCTATTGATATGGATCTCGTTCATCGAGCTGGCTGATATATTAGTGTTAATGTATTAATTTAAATATATTTGATAAAAGAGTATATAAAGTATAATGTATTAAGTTTTGATAATAAAATATATTATCAAAACTTAATACATTATACTTTATATACTCTTTCATCAAATAGTTTTAAATGAAATATAAATATAAATTATAAATTGAAATTTTTTATTTATAAATATCAATGAAATTATTTCAAGTTTAAAACCATTGAGTAATTTATGTGCTTTAATATATTTTAATATTTTGTTTATAACTTAAAATGATCGTATTTGATAAAAAGGTGTGGTCATATTCATTTATAATACATTTTCCATATACTAATGGAATAGGGCCTTGGTTGTTTATCAAAATTTTCAATTATAATTATTTCTAATGAAAAGCATTTCAATTACAGATCGTTATAAATGATATAATTGATTCACATAAAATGAACTATTTTTATAAATAAAATATTAATTTTTATTATTTCATATTTAATACTTGTTATAGTAATTTAATTTAAATTATTCATTACATTAAAGTATAAAAAGTCTCGCCAAAACTCTTGTCCCTAGATTATTTAAATTAAATATATGTTAGGATTGAGCTAGAACAAAATAAAATTTTTTGCAACTATTGTTTTTAGGGACCATTACAACCATATGACCCTTTCCATCCAGATGTGAAGGGAACGGTATGGGGAATGGGATGTTGAGATCACAAAAAATATAAGAGATATTAAAGTTCTGATTTTTGGAAATGATGCGCAAGGTCAATCCTAGAAAAGTAATTTCTGGATTTGTCAAAATTTTACTCCGTTGATTTTTTAAAAATCCCTAAATGTCAAAAATTGTCATTTTTAGGCGTCGTTATCTCAGCAATGGGTCAATGTATTTGGGTTCTCTCAGCAGGGTTCGAAAGATCTTTCAAAATACTAAAAATCATTTGCTGGCACGAACAGTGTATCTAGCACAACAAACCCTCTATTCTGCAAATCAATATTTCCTATGCAATTAATTTATCACTTAATTAATTAATCTTATAGTTTTACACCTTTACCTGTAAAAATAAAATTCATAGGAAATATTGATTTGCAGAATACACTTGGCGCTTCATTTTATGTACCTCGATGTTATGAACATCTGGAAGTTATGAACTATTTTTGAGAACCATATTCACTTGCCATAGATCTAATGTTAAAATCGGCTGGTTTTTATGAACCTTGATTTTATGAACCGCTTTATATTATGAACCAATTTCAGGGTACAAATGAATATAAGTTTATAGGAAACGCATTGGATTTTATGAACTAATATTTCAAAGAAACTGCAATTTATTACTAAAATGCAGAAAAAACGCATAAATTGA